TTTTTGCTTTGGACTGGGGCAGCGGTGTCGTTAGGCTGGGTGCTGGACCCGGCCTCGGGTTTCCTTCGCCCAGACTTTGTCTTACTCTTGGACTTCGTTTCAGCCGCTGGCACAGGATCGGTTGATTTTGCCCGACGCGTTGGTTTTGTTGGGNCCGGGAGCGATGATGAAGCTGTCGGTACCGGCAATGGGGGAGTTGGGACTGTGACTGGGAGCAATGAATCGGTCGAAGATGGAGGTAAAGGGGGAGAGGGACCGGCATAACCTTCCATAAAGAAGGTAGGGGTGGTGGGTTGTGGGATCGAGAACATTTTGGTCCAATCAACCGATGGTCCCGCTCGGGCCATTTCCGTGTACGCCAAAATCCAAGGGTGGTTGAGCCACTGGGCCGCGTTATACCACATATTCTTGTCGATGAGCAAACATACAAATCGTTCCTGTAGGAGAAAGAGATCCAATTTCAGTCAACAAATCATTGTTAGTCACTCACAGCTTTCCCGTATGCATCCTCTTCCACCGTCCGTTGGTGGGCCAGAAGACCTTCCCTGTGACGGTTGTAAAAGTTCAAAAGCGTGGAGGTGGCCACCCTAACATCCTCCAAGAACCCGGGAGTGAGGGTATGGGCCTGTTGAGCGGCTTGAGCAAGTTCAGCAGTGGACATGGTAAGTGGGAATGGGACGATCGACGGTGGTGAATGTGCGCGTCGGAATGGGACAATGGTGAATGTGAAATTACGAAGTTGTAAACGCGGTCACGTGGTGGCGTTACTTCAACCGAGATCCGTACAATGTTCAACCGAGATCCGCAGAATGTTCCATGGCCGATCTGCAGTGGCTTGCTTTCCCACCGTTGAAAAACAATGCGTCTTCATCACCAACCACACAGTGCAATCCCAGGAAAAGCTATCTACTCTCTGACTGATATGTCTTTAACAAATCCAGGTATTGTCCCTACTCCACACCAAGGATTGTCTACTTAATGTAGATAAACAGAAGCTGTGATGAAAGACCAAGAAATGAAGGATGGTAAGTTTTATGTACTCTTGTCGGCTGAGCAGTTCTAACCATATCTTAGGAACGGCCGAGGCTCTACCCCCTCTTCAACCAAGTGAGTTCCAGTCGGTGACAGAAAACTAGCCAAACCTAAATTCTGGGTGGCCGATAGGACAGAGCCAAGAATCCAAACTAGTGATGGAAGTGGACGTCCCATCCTCGGCTCCTCATAGATCCATTTTCGATTTCAAAGAACCTACCCCTGCTCTAAGTTCCAACCCATTCACCCCAGCCTCGGCTCACCAATCCATTTTCGAGTTTAAGAAAGTCGGTACTTCAGCGTTTGCCCCGACCTCGGCTCATCAAGCATCAATGTTCGATTTTCAGCACGTGGGCACTTCAACGAATGTGCCGCCTGTTTCCCCGTCCTCGGCTCATCAGCGATCGATTTTCGATTTCCAGAAGCCTGGCAGATCTCCACCAGCCTCGGCTCGTCAGGCATCAATTTTTGATTTTCAGCAAGTGGGCACTTCAACGAATGTGCCGCCTGTTCCCCCGTCCTCGGCTCGTCAGCCATCCATTTTCGATTTCCAAAAGCCTGACATCCCTGCACCAGCCTCAGCTCGTCAGGCATCGATTTTTGATTTTCAGCAAGTGGACACTTCAACGAATGTGCCGCCTGTTCCCCCGTCCTCGGCTCGTCAGCCATCCATTTTCGATTTCCAAAAGCCTAACAACCCTGCACCAGCCTCGGCTAATAAAGGATCCCCTTTCGATTTTCAAGTCCATCGTTCATTTACCCCGGCCTCGGCTGTTCAGCCTTCCATTGATTTTCAAACACCTGGCACGTCTGCTCCAGCTCCTGCCTCTGACAAACCAGGCATGTCTTCCCCTGGCGCCTCAAGGTTCAATAGTACTCTGGGATCACGGAAGTATCTCACTGGTCCTTACCATATTTTATCATAAAACCATGGCCTAGGCCAGGAAGGCCTTGTGCATAGCTCCACATACTTTTATGAAAAGTATATCATATATATCCCAGGCCCTTTTATGATAAGGATTTTTTTCATAAGAGGCCTTGTGCATTTCAATAACTTTTCATTGCAGGTCACAACTTATCATTAACTGCTTTTCATTGCAGTCCAGCCATTTTCATTGACCACTTTTCATTGCTGGCCAGCCCTTTTCATTATCCACTTTTCATTGCTGCTGGCATTTTCATTGGGTGCTTTTCATTGCAGGCCAGGATATTTCATTGGTAGCTTTTCATTGCTCTCTAGGATTTTCATTGGCTACTTTTCATTGCAGGCCAGCCTTTCTCATTGACCACTTTTCATTGCTGCTGGTATTTTCATTGATAGCTTTTCATTGCAGGCCAGGATATTTCATTGGATACTTTTCATTGCAGGCCAGCTCTTTTCATTGACTGCTTTTCATTGCTGCTGGTATTTTCATTGGTAGCTTTTCATTGCAGGCCAGGATATTTCATTGGATACTTTTCATTGCAGGCCAGCCCTTTTCATTGGCTGCTGTCAGGTGGGTCATCAGGAGAATGGTCACATGACCAGTTGCCTAAAATGGTTAAAAACAAAAATTGTAGTCCTGCACTGTAGCTTCCTGAATCTGTTTAAATTATGTTGTAAAGTGCTTTCATTGTAGAGATATGAGGTAAAATATTTTTCTCATCACCAGCCTTTTTTTTTTTTTTTTTTTGCATTTTTCTCCATGAAAACAAAACCAAACAAGATGATTTCAACACATTTAGAAATCCAAGAGAAGAGGCTACAATTATCATATCGTGGGAAAATTGTGCCAAAAAGAAAGGTGCATACCTCAAAAGGGAAATTGACATGGATAGCCTGCAAAAGGCTACAAAAAGTCTGACATAGACTATAAGGACCACTGATAGACTACAAAAGACTACAAAAGTTGGACATGCCTTACAAAGTTTAAAGTTTACTAATAGACTATACAATTTACTAAAAGACTTCAAAAGACTACAAAATGTTGGAAATAGACTACAAATTTTACTAACATAAGTTTCTAGTGTCCCCTTTGGTTAGACTACAGAAGTTTCTAGTGTCCCCTTTTTTTAGACTACAAAAGTTGTAGTGTCCCCTTTTTTTGGACTACAAAAGTTTGTAGTGTCTGCTATTTGAGACTACAAAAGTTTGTATTGTCTGCTTTTCAAGACTACAAAAGTTGTAGTGTCTGCTTTTTTGAGACTACAACAATTTGTAGTGTCCACTTTTTGAACCTACAAAAGTTTGTCTTGTCTGCCTTTTTGACACTACAAAAGTTTGGAGTGTCTGCTTTCTGAAATTACAAAAGTTTGTAGTCTGATTTTCTGGCATACACTGTTTAGTGTCTTTGACTATGTTAAGGTTCATGGGGATATGGCTGAAGGATTGAGTTGGCTTGACACCCATCTATCTATTGCTGCATCAGTGGTTTTGTATCATGCTCAACTCGTCTTTGACATAACTAGAGCCTATTCTATCCTTTCATGTTAATAGTTACTCTCCTCTCTCAAACTATACTTAACTCTGATTCATTAGTCCATGATGAAAAAGCCTTACCAATTTCAAGATTGTCTTTCTCACATGACTCCTCAATGAAGATTGAGAAAGAGACATGACCCAATTGCCCCTTATCCTTCACCTATCAGTCCTTCTGAATGAGCTAAGATTGAATGATGAAAGGTTGGAAGGTGTCAAGGGATCATGCTATGAAAAGCCTGGATAGGCTGCCAGGTATCACACACAATTCATAATTTTCAGAGAAGTCACTTTCAACAATAACTATAGTCAAATACAACAGTGGCTACTAATGTGAATACCAGGTCAAAGATAGGATGGTGGCTTCTGATTTAAAAAGAGAGGACAACTGTCCTAATGCAAAAGACAGGTTGAGCATGATACCAAAACCAATGATGCAACAATGTATATATGTCAATCCTTCAACCATATCCCCATGAACCTTAACATAGTCAAAGACACTAAACAGTGTATGTCAGAAAATCAGACTACAAACTTTTGTAATTTCAGAAAGCAGACACTCCAAACTTTTGTAGTGTCAAAAAGGCAGACAAGAGAAACTTTTGTAGGTTCAAAAAGTGGACACTACAAATTGTTGTAGTCTCAAATAGCAGACACTACAAACTTTTGTAGTCCAAAAAAAGGGGACACTACAACTTTTGTAGTCTAAAAAAAGGGGACACTAGAAACTTATGTTAGTAAAATTTGTAGTCTATTTCTGACATTTTGTAGTCTTTTGAAGTCTTTTAGTAAATTGTATAGTCTATTAGTAAACTTTAAACTTTGTAAGGCATGTCCAACTTTTGTAGTCTTTTGTAGTCTATCAGTGGTCCTTATATTCTATGTCAGACTTTTTGTAGCCTTTTGCAGGCTATCCATGTCAATTTCCCTTTTGAGGTATGCACCTTTCTTTTTGGCACAATTTTCCCACGATATGATAATTGTAGCCTCTTCTCTTGGATTTCTAAATGTGTTGAAATCATCTTGTTTGGTTTTGTTTTCATGGAGAAAAATGCAAAAAAAAAAAAAAAAAAAAAGGCTGGTGATGAGA